TTCCCTCCCTTCCCCTTTTGTGTCTTTTTGAGACAGGGTCTCCCTGTAGCCCCAACTGGCCTGGAACTCACTATGTAGATCAGTCTGGCCATGAACTTAAAGATCTGCCTGCCCCTGCCTCCCAAGTGCTGGGATTAAAAGCATGTGCCACTACACCCAGCTAAGTTTCAGTTTCTTAATTTCAGGCTTTTTAGGCACAGGAGAATCCAGAATAAAATTAATCTGGTGTACCACTACAGCACATGTATACATAGTCAGCCCATCCAGTGGTCACATGTAAGTCATACTCTCCCTCACCCAGCCACACAGATGAGGTGTTTCCCACAGCCCACACTGACTATACCTGTGAACTCAGTGGCATGTTTCTTAATGACTTCACAGGCGAGGAAAGTGAGGTTGGTGGGCAGTCTCCACAACCTGCTTCTCCGGGAACCTCCCCCAGGTTCCTTTGTGGACCTTTCCCCTAATTTCCTAGTCAAATGCAATTTTTGTACCACTGATATATAACTTATCTGTGTATGTTTTGTATATAAAATAAAACATGGAGTAGGGAAGTGGCTCCGTGGTTAAGAGCAAGTACTGCTTTTCCAGAGCATCAAAGTTTTTCAATTCCCAGCAACCGTGTCAGGTGACTCACAACAGCCTGTGACTCCCCTCTACAAGGATCTAAACACATACCCCCCCCACACATGCACACACACACACATGCACACACACATATACACATAATGAAAAGGAAATAAATCTTTTAAAACCCCTCTCCAGCCCTGACCCCTGCATCTCCTTCAATGCCTTTCAGTCATCCTCAGGCAATGGTATCCCAAACCTCCAGGGCCTCTGCTGCCCCAGTCTGCTCGCATGACACTGAGCCAGTACAGAAGGCCGGCCTCTCTCACTAGCCTCATTCCTTCACAGCTTCTTTCTCCATCAGCTTCCTGGGGAGCTTTTCCCTGACCTTAATTTTCCTCCCAAGCTGGTTTGAAGCCCAACTTGCACTTACTCTTCTCCAAACACTTTTTAATCCATTGTTATTCCTCCAACTCTTCAATGGACCATGAGCACCAAGGGACTTGCCTACTACAATGTATCGTGGGAGTTCCACCAGCACTGCAGAGACAGCAGGAGGTGGATACAAGGCCAGGCCCAGGCAATGGCAGAAGTAGCTCTGCAATTTCATAAGCAACAGAGCATATAGCTGACCTTTCTAAACCAGCTACCTTTAAAAGCCGGGACAGTTCTCTGGGATGTCAGTCCATGGTTCTGTCCTCACTTCTGGGCTTCAGAGTTAAACTCAGGCCCAACAAGCATGTTTTATCTTCCTAGTCACCAGAAGACTCTGGAGATGGACAAATGACCAAAGTCAGACATGAGAAATACCATGTTGGGACTTTGCTGACACTCTTAGATGGTAAAGTTTCTTTCCTCTAGGATGGAGAGATGGAAGTCTAGCATGGGCCAGACTACTCTGAGGAGTGGCTCTGTGGGGAGAGAATTCCAGACAGTGGTAACACAGACTAAGCTCTCGTTCCAACTTCTAAGACAAGTCATGGCTGATGCTCCTGAAACCTTCAATTTAATTAATCAATAGTATTTTTTCCTTGTGCTTAAGAGAATTTGATTTTCTTTCTTTCTTTTTTTTTTTTTTTTTTTTTTTTTTCATAGCCCAGGCTGACCTCAAACTTGCTATGTAGCTGAGGGTGACCTTGAACTTCTGAACCTCCTGGGATTCCAGATGTGAACAACCATGTCTGGTTTATGCAGTGCTGGGGATCAAATCCAGGGCTTTGTGCATGCTAAGCATCTGTCAGCCTTCAAACCTGCCAACAGCAACAACAACAAAAAAATGGGTTCTGACAACACTGCATATTTTCTGGTTCTCAACAGGAACTTAGCAAATGTTAGTTCCTTTTCTCTTCCTAGGTCAAAGAAAGGACGGTAACTGAGCCTGCCATAGAGTTGCGGCAGCTACATGAGATGGTACCACCCAAGTGTTCAGAACAGGCATGGCACTTACAATGGGCCTGCTAGACAGGATCAATGACTCCCATCACACAACAGGAAACAGGCACAGAGGGAGCTCAGAGACCCTGGCTTAGAGTTCTCCACTTTTTCATGAATGATTCAGTTGCAGTGTCATCAACAACCCTAACATACTCAGAATCCAGAACATTAGCTGCAAAAGATTAGTCCTTGGTGGTTGTTAGAGATTGCCACAGGTCCAGGACATGTGCCTCAGTGGTCCACATCTGTCAATCCATCACTCTCCTGCTCGAAAAGGCAGGAAAGGTGCTGCTGCTCTAGCCATGCATCTTAGGGATGCCTGTCTCTGCCATGGCTGCCAGGTCTCTACGGGAGTGCCCACTGCTGCCCTCCTTCATGTTAAATGGGAGAAAAGTGGGACAGAGAAAAGGCCCTTGTCCCCTCCTCTCGGCTATTCTCTTGCTTTGCCATCTTAACAGCAGTTAAATTTCATTTTCTTCGCTCTATCAGGTTTTTCTTTTGCAGTCATTTGTGTGCAACTGCCATTAAAAGCCTGGTAAAGCTCAAATGTACATTCTGCTAGATGAAGGCTAATGCTCTCGGTACTTTAGACCAAGCTTTAGGAAAAAATCAGAAAAATATTTTGGCATGAACTATTACTCTGTTTTCCATTTGGACTCACTGAGCTTTGCAGAATTGTAAACAATTGTTATTGCAACCTCAAGGGAAAGTATACCTTGAACAGCAGGTATTTCAAAGCTGTCATTCTTATGTACCCAACCACTTCAAAACAGTGTGCAGGAGACAGGTGGCTCTTAGACGCCTTATACTCATGCCTGCTTGGCCACATGGTCTACAGTCCTTCTAGTGATCTGTTCAGGGGTGGGCAGAAGACACAGGATGGGACACAGTCTACAGGGTGGTTTTCATTTGCTTTTTCTTTTAGTTTTGTTTTGTTTTTGCTTTTGCCAGAACTACTTGGTACAAGTTGTTCCTTTTTTTTCCCCCAAACGTCTCCTTATGTAGCCTAGGCTGCCTCAGACTTTCTATATAGCCCAGGCTGATCTTGAACTTCCCATCCTCCTGCCTCTGCCTCCCAAAAGCTTGGATTATAGGTGGGCACTACCATACTTGGCTCTACCAGATGCTTCTTTATACCAGGATTGCTAGATGGATCCGCAGACAGCTGTGGAATTGCTGTGCCCCCATGAGGGTTACTGTTACACACCCAGGGAAGATGACCACTCTACCTGTTCCCCTGTTCTACCCAGTTGAGAACGGACTGGAGGGCATCAGCTGATCACGGAGCACTCTCTGCCAATCCCTCCTTCAATATGCGTTCATGGATGCTTACCACCAGTGCTGCTGCCTCCTCTGAGCCACAGACACGTCCTGCCCTGCATCTCACTGCTCTCCCTCAGGATCTCTATTCCTGTCCCTGCTCTTCTGCAATTTCTGCTTAACACAGCTGCCAAGTAATTCTAAAGTCGGACCACAGCACCATTTTGCACCAATCCCTACTCCGTTAGTATCAAAGGCAACGTGTTAACAAATGTCGAAAGGTGGCCTAAGACCTGAGCACCCCCAACCCTCGTCTCTCCCTGACACTCTTTCTGTACTGTAGTGCTCTGGCCACACTTAACCTGCTGGTTAGTCCTTCAACAGACCAGGCATGCTCTCGTGTTGGGGGTTTTGCATTTGCTGCTTCCTCTGCTTGAAAGGCCATTTCATTGAGCTTAGACAGAACCCACGATTTAGGTCTGTGCTCAAATACCGCCCCAATTAGGATTCCCATGACCTTCTGAATACTCACCTCTAACCCTAGCATGACTGCTCTTTCCAGATTTAGTTTTCTCCATTGCACATATTATCCCTCTTAGAAACATGTTGCCTTATTGCCTGTCACCACTAAAACACAAGGGCCACGAGAGCTGTGGCCACTGTGTTCGTCTCACTTTCGCATCACTAGTCTCTAGAAGACCATCTGACTCAAACGTAACAAAAGGAATGGGAAGAAGACAAGGAGGGTGAGAACCCGAGTCTCCTGCTTCCTTCAGCACCTTTCTTACTGCCATGAAATACCTGTCAAGAGGCAACTTAAGGGAGGAAGGATTTGTGTGGGCTCAGGGTTTGTGGGTGCACCCCACAGGCGAGGTGTGGTGGCGGGCACACAGAGCTACTCGTTTTCATCCCAACCAATCAGCAGAGAAAAGGGAATTCCAGCACTCAGCTTGCTGTCCTCTCTCCCCACTTTTTATTTGGTCTCAGATCCCTCAGTTACACTTCTCTGGAAATACCCTCACAGACACACCCAAAGGCCTGCCTTACTAATGCTCTAGGTACTAATGCTATCAAGTTGACAATCAAAATTAACTAGTACACTGAGGAAGCTTGCGAGATAAAGGGCCAAAGGCCCGGGTGTTTGAGTGACAAAGGCAGCCAGGCCCACCAACTGAGTTAGCCGACTGAGACTGCATAGCTGAAAACCATGAAGCTGCTTCTACCCAGAGGCTGCAAGCTGGATCCTCATGGGAGGCAGTGAGAACTTTCTAGACCAAGAATAATGGAAGGACGGCTTAGAACCCAGCATTTCTAGCTCCCATGCACAGATGTCACCTAATATGGTAACTCTTTTCTGATCACCCAATTTAATTTTCACCAAAAAGGCTATGAAAACTTTTAAAGGTAAAGACTATTCAACTTACTACATGGATACTGCAAAGCAAAGTGCTCTGAGAGGAACCGGAAATGCTAGGGAATTTACCAACTCATTTTATGGGTTCGGATAACTAAGATTCAAAATGGGAAAGAGAGTTGGACCTAGGAAACAGCAGAGCTGGAACCTGAAGGTGGATCTCCCCGATTCCCACCAACACTTACCATAAGCGCGTGGACCTCAGAGGTGGCTCTGGCCTGTGCCATGTTCCTGAGACAGAGCCTCACTGCCTCACCTTTCTGAACACGGAGGCCCCGGGTTGCCCTCCCCAGTGAGCAAAACCCGGCTGCCCCACCCCCCTCACCTCCAGTACACTAGCACAGCGATGAGGAGGATGAGGCACACGAAGGTCAAGGCTGAGACCACAATCAGAGGGATGATCCACTCCATCCTTCCGGGAGAGGGCCGGCTTATCATTCCAGAGGTGTTCTTCTCAGCTGCAAGAGAAACATACCCTTTAGTGGACAGACACAAGTGAGCCCGAGCACCAGTGCATGCAGTGGTGTTTGCTCCACAGAGAACCACTCGGGCTGCCCCAATCCAAATACTGCCTGTTCTGTGAATGGCAGTCTCCAGTGGCCAGTAAGGACTGTTAGGGAGGTTTGAGAGGCTTCTAAACAGAGCAGTAAAACTGGAAGACAGACTATTGGTTTTAGTCCAAGGATATTCTCAACTTGGGGGGACTTTGGATACAGTCAGAAAAAATATGACTAAGGGCTCAAAAAGGAGCAGGGAAGGGCATCCAAGAGAAGGGAAGCAGGAGAGCTGGCTGGGATTCCGGTGGCCTTTGATTCTTGCCTGCTTTTCACCCAATGCCCCTTCTTACTGTGACAAGCTGATTTTGCTTTGAGAAATCACCTCTGCCTAACAGGCACAGTTCATGGTGGGACAGCCATCCAAGTGAGGCTCCCCACTCTCCTGGTCAATGAGGGCATGGGACTCAAGTTAGAACAACAGTGGTCTCACTGCAGCATCTGGACACCTGACGAAGACCTAGCACCAGCACCTCCCACAGGCTCTATCCATCAGCTCCTGTCATCCAGATCACCAGAGGGCCTGCTTTTCCATCCATCCTATCACCTACCCTTGATTCCTCCAAAGCTCGGACAACTGAAGACAGGAAGTCAGCCTCGCCCGGCTCATAGTAGGCTTCTGCTTCTGAAGAGTAGCCACAGCCTTGGTGTTAATTGGATAAGTCTGCCAACTGGTGGGGATTCTCCTTGGTTAGCCAATACCTCTTATTCAGGCAACTCTTTTCCAGTGCCTAGTATCTTCAGAGGTCTCTAGAGGCTTTGGCAGGAGAGCTGAGTCTCCCTTGAACTATGGGGCAGACACCTGGAACTGGCTGAGCTGCAAGTGAAGCCCAGATGCAGCCCAGGTTGGGAGCAGCACAGGCACACAGACACTGTCATGAGGGCAGGCAAAGCAAAGGTTACCCGTAAGCACCGGGTGAATCCCCCGAACACTCTGAAGCTGCCCAGTAGCTGACTTGTGCTCAGCAAGGATCCCACTGCTCTGAAAAGCAAGGCCAGCACTCTGCCAGCCCAGTGTTCCTTGGCAGGATGGACTAAATGCAGGGCTAATCGGGCTGGGTTTCCAAGGCTAGGAAGGTGAGCCAAGCAAGAAAGAAAGATTTGGACTCGGGAGCAGGTATTTAAAGAGGCAAGACTCCTAGCTGTGGTGAGGTGTGCTCCTGTGTGATACAGTGTTTTGCCAGAGATCGTCTACTGTAGTGGAATTTCGGGCCTAGGCCTTTGGAATAGGTGGGGCCCAATTTATCCCCAGCTCACAGGTGAGAAGACAGACAGGCAGGTAAAATCCACTGATTCAAACCCCTGGAAGCATCTTACTGTTAATAAAGTGCCTTCTGATTCCCATTCTTTCACTGCATGGATATTTGCTAGATATACTACCAGAGGACACGGATGCAGGAGTACCTAAGCCAGGAGCAACCTTGTGTGCAAGGAATCAGTTATAAGGAGGAGAGGTAAGCCTATGAATAAGCAATCCGAATCCAATTGTGGTGTCAGGTGAAGCACAAGGGTCCAGAGGGAACATGTATCTGAGACCAGGATACTACACTGCCCTGGGGAGGCAAGATCTGGGCAAGATCTGAAGGATGAAAGCAAGTGATCCAGGCCAGACATGATCTGGACAGGCACCGTGCAATTGGTGAGAAGGGGGCAGGGAAAAGGGAAGGAGCAAGATAGAAAATTGGAAGTTCATTCAATCAGGGCCTTGTAGACTGAATTAAGGTCATGGATCTTAGACCTTGTGTTGTTTGCATGTTGCTGTGAAATCTGAAGCAAAAGCAAACTTCACATAAGCATTCTTTGCTCCACACGTTGCTTTTATTGCAAAGCAAGGGCAACCGGCCAGAGGAACCAGAGTTGCAAATGAGAATAATTTTTCAGGGCCCCAAGAGGGGTCAGTTCAGCCAAGCAATTATCTGGCTGGTGGTGGGGGCATCTCAAAGACCTGGGGGTCTTGCTAATGGAAAAAGTGTCAGAAGGGCTGACAGCAGAGGTCTCATGGCCAATTAACTCCGTATTTACCCTGGGAAGCCCTCAGGTACAAGGGGGCACCAGTATCTTTTTGTTCTCCCACGCCTTACAGAAAATGATGCGTGCTGGTGCTCCCCACATACGATTCTAAACAGTTATGGGTATTTCTACCATCCCCAAACCTGTAATACCACTTCAGAATGTTCCAGGCCTCTCAGGACCACAGGAGTAACTGGGAGGTTGTGAGGATCAGTGGCGCATCTGCTGTCCCTGAAACTGCACGTACATCTGTGTTGGTCCTTCTGAGCTGTCACTGCATCTTCTTCCACAGAATGTTCAAGCTTTTCATCAGATGCTCAGGTAGGTCCTGGGCCACACACGACGATGACTATAAGGGACTTTTCGATGTCTGAGAAGGTTAAGGGTCTGGAACTCATAGCCAACCTGGGGTAGAGCTGGGTTGGGTCACTTCATCCTCACATTGCGTGGTCCTATGTGATCATATTTTGGGGAAGATGCTTGGAGGGCATCAAGCACTATCTGAACTCCCTCTGTGGACAGTCCCTAAAGGCAGTGCTGGGTAGGTGACCTCAGGTTGGCAGCTACTTGCAGAGGGAAATGCCCCAAATTTTGACAACCATTTGATTTCAACCCTGACCTGTGGCACACAGTTGAGTTTGCTCAGATAGTTTCCATATGGGCCTAATACAGGGGTAGTTTCTAGATTGCCAAATGGGGTGCAAGACAATCAATTTCACTGTCAACTTCATAGCACTCCTTTGTCTTCATGGCATCAGGGGCCTGGAATTGAACTCCATTTCCTGTTAAGATCCAGAAATCTTTCACCTGAACCATAGATTACTGCCCAGGGAGAAGAAGGAGACAGTAGCTGACCAGCCTGTCCTGCCCTGCTATAGCCACACCCTAGAGACCTTCTGTATCCATGCCAAAAATGTCTCCCCCTCCTGACCCGGAAACTCTTGTTGATCCTTTTCCTGTGTCTGGTGCTGCCTTCCCTGTGAGGACTCTCCAAGCTCTCAGTCTGTGCTATATGGAGGGCAGAACAACGTTGAGATTATAGGGTTAAATCCTGGCTCTGTCACCTTCTGTGTGGCCTTTAGCCAATAATCTAAACCAGTTTGCACCTGGATGACTTCATCTGTAAAATGGAATGAAAAGAATTCACTTCACAGGAATGTTGGGGACACTCAGTGAGAAGATGTGTGTAGAATGCCTGAAGTGTGCCCGCATCAGGCAACCGCAGAGCATAACCCGCCATCAGCATTGCCACCACCTTGCACATGTCACATGCAACTGTAAATGGTCCTTTGTCACTGCAGGGTCCCCAAAGGAGGACTGATCTCTGCCTGTATGCAACTCGAGGTAAGTGAACTACTATTAATAATTACTATTAATAATTTCTCCATGCCTTGGTTTTCTCCTCTGTAAAAGGAGATAATAATATTCCACCCTAAATTGTGGGGTAAGGGTTAAGTACTATACGGCATTTAGAATGTTGTCTGGTACTTGTGACCGTCATCATACCCCTCCTGTCATCATAGAGACCGTCCGCACGGCAGCAGCACATCATCTTTATCTCTACTCTCTTCCTCACTGGCATCCCCACCCAGCACCAGGAAGATGGGAACACTCCCTGCTGGCTGCTGAATCTGATCCCTTCCTGTAATACCTGGGCGCTTTAGGCATACAAAGCATGAATCCAGGGTACTGCTTGACACAAGATTGCCAGTAGGAAGTCTGAGCCTCAGAGCTGGCTCTCAATAAGGCTCACCACACTTGCTGTACTTCAGGAAGTCAATTGTCTAACTGTAGGCTCAGTCTGTGGCTCTAACAGAAGAGTGAGCCACTAAGAGCTATTAGGAACATACAACATGCCACACAGGTTGTATCCCAAGCCCCCAAAACCTTCCCCATGCCAACACCTCTGAAGACCAAGAATCACTAGGAGTCCCCCCAAATCTGCAGGCATATGTTCAAGACCCCAGTGGATGCCTGATGCCACAGACAATACGACATTGTGTACGCCATGCTTCTGTTATGCGTGAAGCTTATGATTAAGCTTAACTCATAAACCAGGCAGGGTAAGAGATTAACGACAACAATAGGAGAATTATACTGGCATAAAAGCTGTGTCAATGTCATCTTTCTCTCAGAACACCTTATTGTATTGCAGATCTTAGCAACCTCAATAGATTCAGTCAAGAACTCTGAGCTTTATGTTTGAAAGCACTTTACAGCTTCTTCGTGGCATACTCGAGTTGCCAGCATCACTACTTCTGTGATTTGGGGCCATTGCTAAGCAAACCAGGGGTTACTTGAACACAAGAGCTATGATACTGGGCAGTGTCAGTCCGATAACTAACTGACTAATGAAAGGTGGGTGATGTATGCAGCACGGATATACCAGACACAGAAATGATTCATGTCTTGGGCAGCATGCAGTGAGACAGTGTGACATGCCTTCAAGATTCTCAGAACCGTGTATCATTTAAAACTGTTGATTTCTAGAATTTTCCGTATTTGATTTTTGGATCATAGTTGACTGCTGGTGACTTCAAATACAGAAAGTGAATCCATAGATAAGTGGGAACTCCTATATAAACTTCTCAGTTCAACTGAGGCAGTATACTGTGACAACATGCTCCCGAGCCCTAGTCTAGACCAGGGCACAAGCTGACCCAGGCTTTGAGTAAGGATTTGAGTAAATGATTGCTGGTCTCTGAGCCTCTGGACCTTCCTCTATTAAAAGGAAGACAGGTGAATGTTCAGGTGAGTGTTCGGGGAACCACGAGGATTTGTAAGATGATCTAAGTGAAGCTGACTGCAAGTTACAGCTATATAATTTATTAGCCAAATGCAAATGAAATTACGGGGCCCCTTGTCCCAAAATTATGAAGAGTTTCAAGAAGGGC